GAAAGTGGGCATTTAGATGTTGAAGGAAATCTGTAATTAAAAGCATGGTGGAAACAGCAAATAAAATGCAACTTTCTCTAGACAATTTTCTTCATAAAGATATGCTTGTAGATCAATTTAAAATTTCTGGAAAATGTGTATCATAAATTCTACTAATACTTTATTAGAAGGATGCGTATATATCTAATCATAATTTGGTTCCCACCCCTTGAATTAGATGAGATGATCATCTCACTTTTTATAACTTACGCAGTTAAATACTTATTAAATGAAGCAATACTAGTGTTAAAAGGCTTTGTCTTTGCTGATATTGGGAAATATATTAATTGTGCTGGCCGTGTGGGTTAGAAACTTCAATTTAGAATCGTCTTCTTTCTTTTGTATAAATTAAAACCTTAAAGCAGTTATTTGAGATTCAATGCTTTGACTTTAAGTTTAAATTACAAGATTGCCTTTTAAATAAAGTTCATCCTCAAAGAAATAATTTTTTTTAATTTATATATTGATATCTCTTCATTAAAAGGTATTAATACAATTTCCAATATCACTTTTATCAAGATAATTGCATCTCCAACCTTATCTATATAAAGTAACCCTTGTTCTGAATTTCATTAATAATTTTTGATAATGGTAAGAACTTACGTTGTATTTGGCTTATGAAATGCAATATTTTCTTTTGAATATAATTGAATTATAATTATCAATAATTGATATATATATGGACTAATATTTATGTTAAATTCAAATTCACACAAATTAATAAATCAATCATATAATTACTAATAATAATTAAGGATTTAATATAAACTTAATTCTAAGTAGTTTAGCAGATCATTTACTTTTCTCACATGCTAGTACTCATGTTTCTTTCATATTAATAAAATGATAACCCCATACACAAATTGCTTCATATAATACAATAAACTCCTATTTTATTTATAGATTCTTATATATTATGTAAATTAAAGATGCTTATCTTTCTACTATAATATAGGTATCAATATCACCTTTATTAGCATTTAATAATTGATAAATATAATATTCCAATTAATTCTTTTTTATAGTTTAAATCCTATCTCTGATAATAAAATGATAATATAACTCTACAAAAAGATTTTACTTTAATCGATTCATTAGGAAAATATATATAATATATTAATAAAACATCATCATCATGCGCATAAGTAATTTTAGATCATTGAAACAGTCTCAATATAAATAAACATTATAAAAATGTTTATTTGGAAGTATATTTAAATTTTAGTTTTTACCAAAATTTGAATCATAAAATAAAATATATGAAGTTGACCTTAATTCAAATTCCAAACTATAGTGTCATTATTTATGAGAGTAATTCTTTAACCATAATAACCGTGCTTTTTAAATTATATGTCTAAACTGCCAGGTTAAATTGTTGCTTAATTTTCCATATTATTTATTTATTTTCGCTACAGGAATCCAATTAATTTTAACTTACATTCAAAATAATTTAGTACCCATATGAATTGTGCATCTAAAGTGAATATTCAAATATCATTAAATTTTTAAGTTGACTCACTGTCCAAATTGATAGATCCACCATCATGACTTGAAAATAATTAATTCTCATTTCTCTTAAGATAAAACACCAAAAAGTAGAAACTGTTTCTGAAAAATTTGAAGGATTCCCATTAATCAAAACATCTAGATTCTTTCCAAGATATTAATTTATCATCCACATATAAACCAGTTGAAATTTTCTGCTAAAAATTATTTAATAATCTAATTGTTGTGACCGTTCAATATATGACCTGACCCTTAAGGTAAACCTTCTTTTAATTTCCAAACTTTATATTCTAATTATACCCACTTACCATAATTGACCCTTATTTTTTGAACGAAATCAAACCATATAAATGATCTTAGTGTAATTTCTGCAGTGATTCGATTTAGTTGTTTATTAATTAACTAATTTTTATAGTTGGAATTCAATAAGGATTTTCATATCTAATATGGTTTCTATAACAATAATACAATACTCCACAGTTTAATAGTAGCAGCAATTTATATCTGTAAATTATTTGTTATTATCATTGTAAGATTTAATATTGAGATCATCTTGAATTAATTCAAATTATTATAATTCCAATTATAAATCAAATTTTGAAGCTTCCTAATTTAGAAACAAAAGTTCTTACTTCCATTAATTGGAATTCAAGTTAATTTTATCATATAATCTAAAATTTGAAGCTTAAAAGTGTATATATGATTCGAGAATTTATAAATCAAGACTTTGCTAAATTAAAGTAATTATATTTTATATTAACAATTTTTCTCTTTCAACATCAAAGTTGTAGCAAAGATAATCTGGACATAGAGAAACTATTAAATCCTGATTACACCGGTGTATTTGAGAAGAGGGTATTACGTGTTTTGGAAAATGTAACTGGATGAATTTATTGCCTCATGCGCTTGAAGTTTTCTGGGATAAAAAGAGCAATGGACCATTCATACAAACTTATCAATCATAACAAGTAATTTTTAGTTTACTCATTTATATAATCAATTGATAAATAATTATATAAACCATTTAAAAAAGAATGCTATGCAAATCTTTTTATAATTATTTAATATATAAGAGTATTAAAAAATTCTCTAAATATCCTTCCATTCAAGTTTCGAAATGCTTGTAAGATAAGTGTTTCCCAAAAGCAACTCGAACATTTCAGAAAAATCTTTTAAATTCTAAGGTATTCTCATGCTAACAAATTGCATCGTATTAGATACTTTTCCTGACTCAATATTATACATCCTTTGCATCAATAAACTAGAAATTATTGAGAACTTCGTATTTGACGGGTGAGTATCATATAATTTCCAAACTAGAATATTCACAGATTCTATTAATATCCAGACAAATATCAAGTATTCCACTTCTAGTCAAAATTTAATTACTCTTCATAGTCACCAAATCTCGCAAAAAGAATCGTGGGTAGACTCATCAGAGATTTGATTTTTATGCACTTTAAAGTTGGTTATTCCGGTTTTAATTTATTTTCCAATTATTAACTAAATGTTATGAGTAACTTTATCCTACAATTTACTTAAGCTAAGGGTCGAATATAGTGTCTAGAACACTCCCGTTTAAAGATACTAATAGTATATTCCCATTCTATAATATTAAGTGAGGACTAAATCTACATACTAATATTTGAGGGGTAGCGTATATTGTTAATTTGAGACTGGTTAGATCTTGATTAATCTTGAAATCACAATAGCTAGAAGTCTCAAAATAATATAATTAGTTGTGATGGCTGATTCGTTTCTTATATGTAAAATTATTTGTTTAATTTTAAGTTTATTATTTGAAAACTGTTTAATCATAGGATTCGGATAACAATGGAGGATAAAACTCACTAAAGGGGATGACTTTTCTACCTTTTTATCTCTAATATGAGAGACATCAAATTTTATGCAAAAGAATGACGCTAAGTGATAAAGAAATTGGTAATGGTCAATATTCAAAAATAAAATTGCTTTTAGAATTTAGATCAGCTTTTGTGCTAACTATTTTTAGGTTTGATTATTTATGCAAAAAGGACTCACTTGTATTCCAAAAGCTCTCCTTGTTATAAATGCAGTAGCCTTTTAAGCTTAAATAATTCTCTGAGTTAATGAAAATGGGCTATTTATTTATGTTGATTCACAATTTTCCAAAATATGGATTAATTACATACATGGCGATAAATTCTTCTTATTAATTAGAGCTCCTCTTCGTAAAATTACGACCGCTACATTCGCTGGTAAAATATCATTGCTAATGACATTATGCTATTTCATTGAAGTTCATCAAATGATTTTCTTGCCAACATATCCCACCTCTTCATTGATAGAAAAGTTATAGAGCTCTCTCTCTCTCTTTTGATCGATCCATTACACTACTTAAGAGGCTATCTAGTTTCATGTAGCTATTATTTTCTCTGGTCAACAAGGCCTATTCTAATCTATAGATTTGATTCAAGATATTTTAGACAATATAAAATTCTTCCTTTGTAATCACATGAGTATACTGATCATCTAAATATCACGAAATGTAGATTATTAGAATAGGGATAATTGTAAGTTTGTTCGCAATATTAAATTGACTCATTGAATCATAACGGAATTAGATACCTTAAATCAAACTGATTAAATTCATCAATTTAAAGATATCTAACTAACTGGTTTAAAATTTTCAATTGGTAAGCTTAATTCAATTGAACAGATACTAAAGAAAATAAATATGAGAATTTTGTAGTAATTCATTTCTGCTATTTTTAAAGTAATTTACAGATTCTTAAATACATTCTTAATAATTCTTATAATTTTTGATTACTCATTCTCTAGTATCATAATCAAATACTGACAATATTTCATAAGGTTTAAGTTTGAGAATTCTAACTATATCATTAATTATAAGTTCATCTGCTAGCATTTCCTGAGAATTAATAAATTTAATGGGGTTAGAAATTCAACTAAATGAGTCACTTATGTAGAAGTGTAGTTTTTATGTGTAATTCTCTATCCATCTTTTAATTAGCTAATGGCTTCATTGTTATATCAAACTATCTTACTCATATAACTTATGTTGCAAAGTGACAATTAAGTGTTTTTATGTATTGCTAGCAAAAGCTGCATTTCATTCGTTTTCTGAGAAGTGTCAACTTTTATATAGGTGGATGGCATATTAATTTAATATTTTTCATCTTTGAGCCTTGCAAATTATATTATAACTTGGTGCTAGCATCTAAATGCTTTATATTAAATATAATATCCCACAAATATAATAAAAGAATTTCAGTTATAATATCAAATTATTATTATATATCGAATTCTTTTTTGTCTTTTGTATTTCTCAGTGAGTAAACAAATAAATTAGTACTAATCATTTACCTAATTTTTATAGCCCCAAATTGTTTATTATATCTCTAAGTCTTGAGATGTTCGGTAAAGCATATGACTTAGTGCAAAATGGATTGATAAAATTATTACTATCGGAAGCCACTAAAGGTTGTATTTTGGCTCTCTTCTATCAACATAAAAACTATTTGTAAAAAGATCAAAAACCACCATTTGTGTATTATGCGCAAACGATTTTATCAGCTTGTTATCCATTCTGCTAGCGTTGGAGATGATAAATATTGATCCATTTTTGTAATCAGTTTTACTTTGAGCCACACCTTCTTCTTTGAGTTGACGTTAAATTATTACTCATTTTTAATAGTACTATTTACTATTTATTTCTTACCTTTTGTGCAAACAGTTCCTAAGCTTGAACACTTTTATAACTTAAGCACAGGCTCAATATTCAGTATTAAATTTAGGAGTAGTGATTTCAAGCAAGTAATGCTCAAATAAAAGAGAGTATACCAATTGAATAAAAATGTAAATAGGCAAACAGTATATGAAAATCAACTTATGATTTTATAGTTTCTATTTTTGTGATATTTATTAGAACTGCTTCTTATGCATTATGTAATGATGATTAAACTGAATCAAGATCTTCATTAACTAGTGCCTGACATAAAATTTTTCTACATTCATTACTTCTTGTTCAACCTTAGACAGCAATTCTAACATCAGTTGTGAAAAATATCGTCCTGTTATTACAAGCTTAACTCTTTTGTTAATACTTCCTTTCAGCTACTTATCTTAAAATAATACTGCTGGTAATAACAAAGATCAACTAATTATTCCAACTCCTTGCCCCACCCTATGAATGTTTGAGCTGGCTTGCGATGATGGATTTTATCTAAATCCAAATATATATATATAATATGTTTGTTGAGATTGCTTAAAAAATACTATTTGTAGGTTTATTTAAGGTTTGTTAATTATTTACCTTCTGCTTCGCCTCTTATAAAATGTGATGTTAATATTGACAAAAAAAATTTAAATGTTGCATTCATGGACGTAATAACACAAAAATAGAAACTCATATCTACAAAAGTTTAAGAGCACATTCATTACAAATATTAATGGCTTCAGAGTAATATACAAGCAGACATGCACATGAATATTTGATCCACAAGAATTCATGTTATTTTCATAATGTATTACTAATAAACACAAAGAGATATGAACTATTATTATGATTGTCAAGAAATTACAAAAAAACAGGCTGAGACTAATTTAGATGGTTGATATTGACATAAGAACTTCAGCTAAAATTGAGGTAAATATGAAGTGAAACCCTAGACTGTTTTAAATAAGCAGACAAGTGTACTACTTATGGTTATGGATTCTTTGCTAAGGCATTTAATGAAAACTCTGATACATTTTATAACCATTCATCCTTTTATCTTTCACTACAACCGCTCCTTGTAATCTATTTAATGCGCTTATCATTCTAAATCTTTAATGGGTGATCTTATCTCTTATTTAAAGTGTTTTGGTGGCTAGTTTTTACCATATGCATAAAGATTATCTCAGCCCCTATCTTATATGTAAGACACAACTCAAATCTTAGAGATACATATTTCCTATCACATAAACATTTGTTATCAATGTGAATATCTGTATATAAGTTCAATGTAAATATTTGTAGGAAATACATTTCTTTATATGCTGTCTGTAATTATTACTGATTGCACTCAATATTGAACTATTTGTAAGATAATCTCTAAAACTGTTGAAAGTTGTTCTCAATGCTGTCTTAAAATGACTCGACAAGCTGTAATGCATGTTAAACTATCTGTCAAAATATATGCTAATTATTCTTAATGTACTTCATGCTTCACCTTAACTTCTAATAGTTGCAGTGAATATAGTATTATTTGTTCTTAATGACCATCCCAATAAACTAAAAGTTATCATCAAAGAATTTACACTACTCTGTTAAGAATAGCTATACCTCCTAATTTTACTACATCGTCAATAACAGTAAATTATTAAGTGCACAAGTAACTATAATTGTTTGTACTAATGATAAATTCTCGTTACAATCTGGATATTGTTTAATTTTGCAACCTTTTAATAGTTGTAATCGGCTATTGAATGTACTGATTATAATGGTTTGCTTGTTTATGCTTCAATTAATTTTAGAATTGTTATTTCTTTGTGCACTAGTAAATGTTCTAACTACGTTGTTCTTGCATTTTCTAGTAGAACTAAACATAAGTTTTTTCTAGATTAGTGGTATTTATTTCATCTACTCCTTGTGTATCTACAATGGAAGCACTACAAATAGTGTCTAAACTTTGGCGCTTCAGGAGCATTAATATTAAGCTCTTCATGTAATAAATATATTTTCTTGGGAATTTATTTGTGTAATTGCTATGATAGAGCATATTATTCATCAATTAGTGATTATCTTTTATTAATTGTGCTATGGCTTCTTCGGCTAATTTGTTCTTACTGTTTTGTAGGAATTTTTATATGTGGAGTATTGCCTGTCCTTGCACCTTGTACCCTGTTTTTTTTGCTCTATAATATGTGCCTCTTGTTTTTTTCGTTGTTTTGAGGCAATAATAGTAACATTGCTCATAACCTTGTAAATTATGCAAACTAAATTTTGAAACAAACTTTTAAAATTATTCATAATATCAGAGTTGTTGCATTAATTTTACTTAATCCTACATCTGGTTTTATCTGAATGTTATTTTTATATTCAAATAAAATATTAGAATAGTAGTTTAGCATGTTTACTTATCAAATTGTGTAATTATATTTCCTAATATTCTTCTTGTATATCAAGCTAATGCTCTAATTCCTGCTTCTATGGTTGACCCATTAAAAAAATCTAAATCATGCAACATGATGTGAATCTGTCTTATACCTCATTGTACTACTGATGAAAATATATATGATTCAAGCATTCCTATATCATTTCTATGTTGCACAATTCTGTGCTAAAGTTTGTTAATATTTGACCGTCTGATTTAGCAATTTTATAAATATTCCTGGACAGCGTTTTGAGACTTCCCTATTACAAAGTGTTAAACTATCTGCCATATCTCATTTCTTAAAACTATGGAGCAGTTCTGGGATCTAGCAGTCATTTGTCTTGCGTGAATAATTTTGTCCAAATTCTTTACATTACTAGATTAAGATGATGACAGTTTAGACAGCAGCAAACCATTTATAGTTTATTGCAATTATTTGGTTACACGTGTTTGCATTGTATTCAATTTAAAGTTTAATTTATTGATATTGTCCTACAGAATTACAAAGATAACCTACTAGCTGCAAAGATCATATTCATGACTTGATATCGATGAAATGGTTATCTCTATGTATAATTGTGTTGTTAGCTATGTTTCCTGCTGAAATTAGTTTAACAGCAATAGAATTGTCTTTGTGGTAAAATGTAATTGTTTAGCTACAAATTGTGCAATAATAGTTAGGCTGTATTTCTAGATATTTGATTTCTTTTCTTACCTGAACAGCTAGTTTTTACAAGCAGGAAATTTAGGTCTTTTATCACATTTAAAATGGAGATTTAAAATAGGGCTTTTGTTTCAAATACCCAGAAAATGCAACTGTAAATTCATAACGTCTTGATGGCTATGATGTTGAACATAGTAACTGTTTCTTTTATCCTGAAAAATCTTGTACTTATATTACTCCTATACTACTACTAAATACCTTAATAGGTTGGATCATATACTGCTAGCAACGATTACTCGTGATGCATACCTGAATTCAATTTATTGAAACTCTTGAAATTAATGGATTTTAATATTCTGCATCTCCTGGCTTTCATTGTAGAACTCAAAACTCTCAGATCTCAAATAAATTATTATATCCAGCATTCTATATGTATTCGTAGAAGTATAAACTACTACTTTCAAAAATTTGATGCTGACAGAAAATAAAAGAGAAATTTATGATAGTTGTTTAATATGATGCATATATACTGGAAATTTTATCAAAAAAATACATTATGTGCTTATGCCTTGCATTAAAGACTCTTGTGATTAAAATGAAAAATGATGAGCTGATCCTGAATATGAAGAATGTCTTTCTGTTTCACTGGATCATATTAAGGAGAATAGCTAGACAAACATAGACCTGAGATGTTCTGGCACGTCTAATACTTCATGAAGTCCTTTTTAATTCATAACTTGAAAGTGTTGGTATGTAATCATAACATTATACCCAGGTAGGAATAAAACTTACAAAAATTACTAATGTACACAAAAACTAATTATTTAAAATAAGTTATAAAGATTTCTCCATTTCACAAGCTCGACAATTACTAATAGTTATCCTACATTTGATGCATGAAAGAGGACCTTAAAGGAATATTTGGAGAATTTAAAATTTATGCTTCAAAACAAGCTTTACAAGTTCTATTAGTAAAATAAGGGGATGAGCATTATAATTAACATAATCTAACACAACCCAAAAAGTGCATCAATTATGATTGTAAGATTTGCTTCGAAATTGTAGAAATAAACCAAGCTTTTATACAAAGGGTGGCCAGTTCTTTAGAATTTTTGTGAAAGTTTTATCTGGATAAGCAAAATATTAGTCTTTATTAATATCTGCTCGTCGGTTGCTATCTATGATATCGATTAAGGCAGTTTCATATATTTAACAACAAACTGGAAGATGGAATTTAAAACTACTAGCTATTAAAAGAGGTATAAACTAATCTAGATACTACTTAAAGACAATCATCACTAAGTATTATTCTATTACTTGAAAGATTAATTTAAAATTGGCAAATCTAAAATTAACCCTTATGGCGTTTAGCAATATAAGGTAGGGATAAATGGCATCAAATTGTTTTAAGATTAAATTTACGGAGCATGACTATGAAACAATATTAGGATGGAGCTCGTTAGTATTATAATTTACAGTGGAACTCTAAGTTACTGGATAACTACGCCATGGAATGATTAAACAACAAGGTAAAATAGTCTCATTTGATTAATTTCATAGAGCCTGAACCATGGTGTCAATGTATATCAAATTTAATTGAAGCTTTGGAGAATTTTCTTCAATTAATAAGATGTTAAAAGAATAGGAAAATTTTATCAATAAAATATACTAGCAGCAAACATTGTGGATATAATTAGTTCTTTTAGGAAATTCACGCAGAGTTTTTAATAATTGATGAATGATGCCTGTGGTTCATATTTTATTTTATATGACTTTAATAAAATTTTATCACTGTCTAATTTAGAACTAACAAAACTCCTTAATGAACTTGTGATTATGAAGCGTCTGCATCAGCTATTGTTTCTAAATATTTCTGATTAGTTATTATGACACCTTACAAGATCCTAGTGCTTGCACTTTATGTTCAACTTCATGAACTTCTGGGTCAACATCAGTTTTTAGTAATTGAGTTACAGGTTCAGACTTAATATCATATAATACATGATATTTTTTGATAAAATTACTCTCCTTGATAAAAGTAATAACAATTATGTGTCTTAAACAAGATTAACTTATAGAAATTTGATTAAATGCATATAGTTAAAAATGAATATTAAATATCTTCTAAATGTATTTGATATTTATTTATGCAACTAAAGTTATATCCTTAGATATTAACTGTCTTGTGGCAGTTGTGTATTTTTGTTTACAATTTTGATATACTTTGAGGTGAGATTTATGATTTACAATTAATAGTTTACATGGCTTATTGAATAAACATTCAATGGCACATATATTTTTACAATATATTAAAAATTTCCAAATATTTACGATTAAGCAACGAATCTCGGCTCCTTAGAGGATGAATACCAAGTTCCCTTTTTATTGCTTTCTAACTAGGTGAATACCCTGTTCCTTTTTTACTAGGTGAAATTGTATCTGCACAATCTTCTAGCCTAGAACTCCCATCTAACCATGATAAAATTGTTTAAAAAAGAAATTATCTATGTCTTTATTTACTTTGACATAAAATTTTTCCTTTTCAAATTTTCCAGGAAAGGGTTAGGAGGAGAATCCTCGAGACACGCCAATTATGATATCACGATAATTTTAATAAATATTTTTTCATTTCTAAATAATCTAGAAATTATAAATCAAACCCCTTATACGTTTCAAATTTATTACTAGGCTAAACTAAATTCAGAGCTGATAGTTTGTGATATATCCATTAGCTCAGACTCGAATGTAAGACCAATGTTTATGTAGTCAGAGCATTAGAATGCAGATGCGAAGAAGGGATGTATATTGAGTAGATTATAGTTAAAAAATAAATAAAAGGATCAGGACTTTATTTGTTGCATGCTAATGCAAGGAGCTCCAAAAGCCATAGATTTAGGATTTATTGGATTATTGTGCAATCAATTTAAAACAATTACATTTTAGCAACCAGCCTCTCCAATATTTTCCAAGGTTAAATAATATGACTTGATATTATTGATAAGGGAGTCTAAAACATATGCTGTATAACAAAAAGGAAGGTGAGAATACCGTCCACTCAATCTAAATAACTTACATAATACTCTTCTAAATACATGATATTCCAGAAGAACAAGGATTTAAATTAGGCAATAAAATGCACATTACATCATTAAATAAAGCTGAAAAAGAATTGTCATGCTGAATATTATTATACAGATAATTAATTAATGCACTTCAGCATAGCCATCAAAACAGAATATCTAACTGACAACAATTACAGCTAACATGAAATCTGACAACTCAGCTCCTAATAGAATTGGTGACTCAGATTTGCATTTTTTTACTCATTAATCAAAGTGTGCATGAGTTAAGGGTTATATATTAATATAATCGCCCTAATTATTAGTAGGGTAAGGATAATGTGTAACTATAGCACGAATTAATTATAATCTAATTGCCACTAGACACATCAAATATCACAATAATGATTCCTCTTTATGGGAGGATTACTATTTACATAAAATAGTTATTTAAGTCGAATAGAATACAAGACATGAAGGCTAATTCTGGAGGAGTCAGCAATTATGAGATTCAGTTGCCAAAAAAAAAAAGGTTTCTTAGAAAAATCGACCTATTTAATTTTAAATGGTTTGGTGGTATTTCAGTTCAATATGGACTAAATATAATTATGCTTTACCTTTTTAGTAAGGTACAATTTGTACTCAGCGAATTATTACGTCTTTCAACATTGTTCTTCATACCGTACTCCCTGTTTCTGATGTATGAAAAGAATTTAATGCACATGTCTTTATGGTCTATATGGAGATATACATACTAAGTGCTTTCCATTCATGATATGATAAAAGAAACATTCTTAGTTTAATACACTTTGTGCATAGTTGCAGTTTATATCATAGGTACATTACTGAAGTATTTTGTTTCTCTTGATTGCAAAGGATGTTGGAACTTTAATATTACATAAATTAGTTATCAAATTGGTAATATATTGATTTAACAAATTTGGCATTATTTGAACTTGTATTTGACCTATCAGTGCAAGTACTCAAGTTGCTTATCTACATATGCACAACTAGAGCAATTTCTAAGTATGATTCATTATCACGTTAAATTTTTTCATTAAAGTGATTCGAACAAATTAAACAGGCTATGTAAGGAAGGGTATGTATGGATGCTAATGTAGTCTTCAACACTTTTCATATTCCGCAATGCTCATTGAAGTTATGTTGATGATGCCATTCATATTGCTTTGCCATTTAAGGCTGTTTTGCAAGCTATATCAATAATAGTATCTGAATATGTGCATTTAGCCACACATCTACCTTCCTTTTTATTGTGTAATTTGTGAGATAATTAGCATAAACTGCATTGCTAAAGTTGCAGGGGCATTAATACAAGTCCTTATTGTATAATTTAGTATTTATAAAATTATCGAGGGAAGCAATGACATTTTATGCAATGGGTATCATTTGAATTATTACACTGTTGAAGATGCACAAACAAACTTTATCTTGATTATCAAGCAAAAAAAAAAAAAACCTGATAATTAATATTCAATTGAAAATACGGTTGAATCAGGAGCATTATCCTAAGAAAATTTGTTGGCTATTCCTGTCCATTAGCATGGATCTGCATCTTGGAAAGGTTGCATTATTTCCAAATTATTGTATCAAAAGTTGCAGGGATATCTACACATCTTTTCCAGAAACTGTACTCTTTTACAGAAATAGACTCTACATATTTTTCATCAACATAATCAGCAGGAGCACTAACACACTATTTAACAGTATTTTACGCTCCATTCCAACCAAATGGATCACCACTTGCTTTGATCTAGCATTATCCTTCTAAAGTTGCAATACCTAGGCAATTAGTTGAAGTAGCAGCCTCTGTAAATTTAACAGTTGCTGAGTTAGAGTAAGTAGAACAATCAGAGTTGGGAGAGATTGATAATAACTAGTAACCATAACATGAGCCTATTATTAAACGCAAGCTGACTAAGTTTCTGCTACCTCCTGATAGGTACGATTACAAATTTCATACATTATCGTTCCACAGAACAGGTTATTTTTCCATAACATTAACCACGGCTGAAATTGTGATACAAGAATTTGAATAAGATAAATAATAGTTTGAAATAAATTTTTTAATACATTCTGCTGGGATATGTATATGTAGTTTTGAAAAGTTAGCATGCTTTAATGATGTATACTAAGAGTTTTAGTGAAAAAAGTTAAATATCAGATTAAGTTCAGCACTATTCGAATAGCATTTTTAACTTTTTATGTTGTAAAAGCTTCCAAAAAGTACATATTTGTGTCAACTCATTTTAATTAAGATATTTTTACCCATACCCTGCTTTTTGTTATGTTAATAAAAATTCATCATTATATATCAATTGATAGCCCATCTCATTCTAAGCTTCCTCATAAACACCTTTGATCCTCCATTCTCATTGCTGCAAAAATGTGAACACAAATTTTACAACACACATACACAAAAATATTTAGAGGGAAGGTCAATTAAACAATTTAGTGGAGATCAACTAAAATATTTGTGGAGTCATTTAAATTATTTGGGGTTAAGAGTCTTCTCAATTGTATCCATCATATAACCAGGAAATAGTAATCTTCTCCCTCATCATATACCTACTTTCATATACACCTCAATTAATAGCCTTCACCATTCTAAGCATGTTCCCAAACACCTCGATCTTCTATCAATACTTATTGCTGAAAAATGCAATTCCAAACGCTACTATTCTTCAAATAATAACAATGTAAAAGAGAATAAAATAAATTAATTATTTAATAATTAAATTTTAATGTAATTTTTATAGCCAAAAGTAATAGAAAATGAGTGTTTCTGCAAACAGCATAAACAACCTATTGAATTAGTCATTCTAGATTCTAAATTATCAAACGATTAAAGAGTTTTATGTAAGTCTTGTAGTAAATTGAATCCAAACAAAGCTGAGATTGTTAATTATCTACTACTTAAAGAGAACTTTGATAGACAATAAAGTGAAAGGATAAAACAATACCAGCCAATAATCAAACCTCATATAGAATATGTTGAAAACTTTTAGAAAGTTGCTGATGCATTCAAAACAAGATTAGTTCGATAGCTTGATAATTTTTTGTGGCTTTCCAAAGATTGGATTACTAATTTGAGTGATATTGCATAATAATACAGCTTTTTGGGAGAATTAGATGCTTTCATTAAGTAGTCATAGTTTGTTGTTGATTAAAGAAATACAATGTAAAACATTAAAAAATTAAATGAAAATTGGAATATTAAAATATAAAAATAATTGGATCGATTAAATCTCTAACCTGAAATCAAGAAATGTTAGGATATATTGTGCTCTTTAAGTCAATTAGTCCAAAATCAAGAAAGAGAAATTAACTAGGAATATTCTTCACATTCAAAGATACAATAACCTTTAAAAGACGAATTAATTTATAATAGAAAGGATGATTTCTATTAGGTATTGACTTAGACTAAGAACTTTGATAGATCTTACCTTAATGAGCTACTTAAGTTGTTGAGAAATTAGAAAATTACTAATTGTTTAGAGTTCTTTAAAAATTAAAGTCAGTTATAATTTATTACATCTATGATTTAAAATATTAGCGAAATAGACATAAATTAGATGAATTATTCAAATGATAAATATGATTAAATAAGAAAGGAATTGATCCAAAAAATATCTTATGATGAAAACATCATTGAATTTTTGAAATTTCTTGTATCATTGACTTCAATTGACGAGAGATTTATCTAATGTGGATCTAATGCACTCAATTTATTGGTTGAAATGAAGGTGGATTTGAGAGAACACAGCTTTGAAAATATAAGGATGAGGGATACTTCATTGATTGGTGGTAATTTTGTAAGATGCAATTTTAACGGATCAGAATTTGATAATGTGGATATAAGTGGAGTTAATTTGAATTAGGCTTAATTGTTCAATTGTAAATGGAAAAACATCAAAATTCATGAGTTAAATAGATTAGATGGTCATTCAGGTAGAGTAAGGCAGTCAATTTCTCTCCTGATGGTACTAC